TAACAGTATGATATTGTAGTATGATTATGTAGAAAAAATTACATTCATACGTCAAAATATTTTCTCCGCATAGTTTTCTCACCCCCATTAGTGATGATAGAAAAGATATAATGCCAATAACCTCGGCACCACCTATTGTGCGCGTCTGAAACTGTAACTAATTTCTGTTTACTGTTGCTTATAAGTATTTACAATAAGTAAAATACAGAACTTCCAGATACTGCCTGGTATGATGCGAACTCTGATAATTTCTCATCTCCATGAACCTCGCCTCCGTGATTGTTGCTGTTCACGGAGGTCAGAATGTCCTAACGGAGGTGATTAAATATCAAAAATTTGTGCTTTAATTTACTGAATCGTTCACTGTGATGTCTCCTGAAAAACCAAAGGGTGGAAGCTCAGCTGAAACACGGAAAATAGTCAGAGAGTATGAAAAAATTTCGAGAAGAGATTAATAGTGTTTTTTTTATGTCGCACTTTCTAGCAAGACACTTAGCTGTAAATCATCTGTATTGGCAGTATAGTGAAAGTGGTCATGGCAAGGGTGCACCTGATGGGGTGGGCATTGTTGTTAAACGAGAAGCTGATCATTTAGTGCATTGATTCCCAAAGTGGTCTATATCGACCCCTGGGGGTCTATGACAACCTGCAAGGGGTCTACGTCAGCGAAAAAAAATTTGGAGGTCCATGAAATGAATATGGGGGTCCACGATAGTGGATCTCAACACATACGTAGTCATGCCATAAGTTCTGTCCCTCGTTTTCAAACAAGTGTAGACCTGTTAATACTTGTCCGATTGTTTACATTGTGGTGTCAGTTGATTAAGCGCTTTTCGGGTAATTACATATACCTCAGTTTGTATTGATCTCTCGAAGCATAACGATGGAGTGGGGCAAGGCAGAGAACCGTATTGCAGTGATAGCTTTACATAAGTGTAATCACAGTGCTAGTCAGATTTTTGAACTCTTACGCGGCCTTCAAATATCGCGTAAATTTGTGTCTAGGACCATTCAGCGGTACAATGAGACGTCCTCTGTTGATGACAGGCCAAGAAGCGGAAGACCTCGTCAAGTAAGGACTCCAGCAGCCATCAAAGCCGTAAAAGCCAGGATTCAAAAGAATCCACTCCGGAAGCAGAAGATCCTATCCAGGGAAATGAAGATTCCTGTCCGGACGATGTCGCGCATCATTAAACAAGACCTAGGGCTAGGGGCTTACCGGAGACGTACGGGCCAGCGACTTACGGCCACCTTGCGACACATCAGGGCGACAAGATCCAAGAAGCTCTTGGAGAGGTACGCAGCTGGGGGATTCCGAAAGATTTTGTTCACGGATGAGAAAATCTTCACCATAGAAGAAAAATTCAACCGACAAAATGACAAAGTGTATGCAAGGAGTTCACAGGAAGCTTCGGAGATCATTCCGAGAGTTGAGAGAGGCCACCACCCTGCGTCAGTCATGGTTTGGTGGGGGGTGTCCTACGAAGGGGTCACTCAGCTCCATTTCTGTAAACAGGGCGTGAAAACAAAAGCGGCAAACTATCAGAGCGACATACTGGATCCTATCGTCAAGCCTTTAAGTGGTACATTGTTTGCCAACCAACACTGGGTCTACCAGCAGGATTCCGCCCCCGCTCACAAGGCTAAGAGTACGCAGCGCTGGCTGGAAAGCAATGTGCCAGAGTTCATTGCTGCGGAAGATTGGCCCTCAGGGAGTCCGGACCTCAATCCTTTAGACTACAAGTTGTGGGACCTGCTAGAGCAGTTGGCCTGCTCCAAAGCCCACCGTAATATCGAGTCCCTGAAAGCGGATTTGATCCGATCAGCGGCAGCTATTCCTTTGGAAGCTGTGCGTGCAGTGATAGATGAGTGGCCCGCGAGATTGAAGCAGTGTGTGAACGCCAAGGGGGGACATTTTGAATAAAACTGTTTGATTATGAATTCTAAAAATGTTGTCGAATAAATAATATCTTTCATATAAATATATCTTATCTTGTTTCATTTTTATCATGAGATTATCATGGGACAGAACTTATGGCACGACTACGTACACTGATAGTACCTATTTACTTAAATCATACTATCTTATAATATCAAAACATATACATTATTTATAAAATTACCTATGAAGTAAAAAATTTATTATATATGTTTATAAAATTGTGTAAGTTGTAGGATGTTGGTATTCGCTTTGTGGTCGCAATACATTTTGAACTTGTAAAAACCTGAGAGTTGCAGTCTCAGAGCTTCGCTACCTTGCACTGACTTGTTGAATTCGTCACTCTATAAATACGAATGTGGGACAAATACGTTTATTCGTTTCCTGAATCTTGAAAAGGAAAGTGCTAAGAAAATATTTAAAAAAATATAAACAGATAGTATATCACACAAATTATAGTGAGTCAGTGTTATTTTGTTTGAGAGTGCTGGAGAAAAGTAAGTACATTATTTTTTATTAAATTTTAGTTTTGTACTCGTAGTTAGCAAAGATAGATAAATTACGCCAATCATGACTTTAGTTATTAGTAGTTAAATATTCAATCATGCAAAATTACACGAGTACTCCTCAATAGTTTCTTTTTGAAAGTTTTAGCAATCGGTAATATAATTACAGTGCAATCTCCGTAATTCGAGCTAATTGTTGCCAGAAGATGTACGAATTATGGAATGTTTTCGGAAAAATCAAAAAATATTGTTAATATACAGCTGCTGGATTTTCTGTCTTATTTAAATAATTTAATTTTGCCCACAGATGACTGATGCCATCTCCGAATCTAACAAGAAATATAGACATTACAGTGTTGATTATTTGAAATTTGGCTTCATTCCATCATTGCCGGACAAACAATCGCCTATGTGCCTTTTATGCAACAAAGTTTTGGGCAATGAAGCTATGAAACCATCTAAACTGCAAGATCATCTTAGAAGATGCCACCCTGATAAAACAGAGCAAGATTTGAAATACTTTCAAACACTCAAAGATAAATTTCAGAAGAGACCTACACTGGACAGAATGTTCGCTTCGACGTCACAAAGAAATGATGATGGTTTGCGGGCGTCTTACAATATCTCGTTACTTTTAGCAAAATCCGGAAAACCGCATACTATCGGAGAGAAGTTAATTTTGCCAGCCGTTGAAGAGATATTAAAAACTGTTTTACACAAACCTGCATCTGATATCATTAAAAGAATTCCCTTAAGCAACAATACTGTTGAAAGACGGATTGATGAAATGAGTTCTGATATTGAAAGCTTCTTATGTAATTATTTGCAAACGACCCATTTCTCTATACAACTGGACGAGTCAACTTTACCTGATAATGCAGCATTATTATTGGCATATGTTGTTCGTTTTATTATGAATCAAGAAATCTACGAAGAACTGCTCTTCGCAAGAACTTTGATAACCGACACAAAAGGTGAATCAATATTTCATGTTTCGAAGGATTACTTCATTGAAAAAGCAATTCCTTTATCGAATATAATATCAGTAGCTACAGATGAAGCACCTGCCATGGTTGGACGTTATCGTGGATTTAAAAGCTATTTAAAACAAAATGTGTCAGGAGTGTTAGCAATACATTGCGTCATCTATCGACAACATTTAGTTGCTAAAAATTTGAGTGTTAGATTGCATGAATCACTTCATTTAGTCATTGATGCAGTAAACCGAATCCGAAGCAACGCGTTGAATACGCGGTTATTTGCGCAGTTGTGTGAAGAAAATGACGAACACTTTCATCAATTACTCCTTCACACTGAAGTACGCTGGCTGTCGAAAGGCTTATGTTTGACAAGATTTTTTGCACTTTTTGAGACTATTTTAGAATTTCTGGATACTAAAGATAAAATTTTAAAAGAAAATTTTATGAAGAGGAAAACAGACATCGCCTATTTAACAGACTTGTTTACAAAATTTAATATGGTTAATGTGCAATTACAAGGCGACAGTTTAAATTTGATTAAAACAAAGTCCATCTTATCAGCGTTTCTTGACAGAGTTAAACTAATGAAGCAAAATATTGGACGTGGCGAATTTTCTCAGTTCCCCAATTTGTCACAGACAAGCTGCCAGGAAGACGACGTTTCAACTTACGTTCAACATTTAAATCCCCTCTATTCAGATTTTGAATCTAGGTTTGCGGATATTTTGACTATGGTAATACCACCGTGGATAATTAATCCATATGGTGACATAGAAGAAACAAATGTCATAATACAAGAGGAACTGACTGAACTAAGTACAAACGAAGCACTTAAGGTTCAGTTTAAAAACGGATATCAGCAAATCTGGCTGCAAAACAACATACCCGTTACTTATCTCGTATTATAGAATATAGCGAGGAAATTTTAAATTTCCTTTACATTGTCATACCTAGTGGAAAGGGGGTTCAGCGCTGTTACCAATCTCCTAACGAAAAAAGAAACAGACTGGACAACATTAGCCGAGGAGATTTAAGATTAACCCTTACAAAATTGACGCCAAATGTTGATAATTTATTATTAAAGCATCAGGTTCATCCTTCTCACTAAAAATATTGACTTATTGCTTATGTTATTTTATTTATAGTTTATTTTATGTTTATTGGTGTCTGACCAATAAATGTCCGCATTGGGAATAAGTGCCCGCATTGATTTTTTTAAAGAACCCCCCTTTATAAAAAATATTTTTTTTTAAAATTATTCTGAAAATTCAAGGATAGGTACATACTAAAATTCGTTGATTTTTTGCCTATTTTTAGATAACTTATACGTATAAGAAGCGGAATATAATCAAACTAACAGTGAAATTATTGTAGAGCATACGTTTATGTTATAATTAATAAACGAACTCGCTTATTGTACTATTTTAAGTAAAAAACTTTTTTTTAATTATTTTTCACTTTTTTTTTATTTATCACTCTTATTTTTTTTTCAATGCGGGCACTTATTGGTCAGACACCTGTTTATTTAATGTTACATATATTTTACATAACAGATACAAAATTTTATTTTGAGTAGTTTTAATTTAAATTCAATTAATAAATGTATGAATTAACATGTGTTTTTACTTTAAGTTTTTAACACTAAACTTCACTACAGTTAGAAATTTACAGGAAATCAATATCAGGTAAGCAGGGGGTCTACCCAACACGGAAAAACATGGCAAGGGGTCTACGACACAAAAAAGTTTGGGGAACTCTGATTTAGTGGCTATGGGAAGAGACATTCTTAATCTTCAAAGTTTAGTAGAAACATAGAGTAACTCAACGAAAGTGATATTCCTTAGTTTGAAATCTAAGCACATTGAAGAGTTAGATCATATTGTGCCAGATGATCAATGAAAGTACATAAAGTATGCTGTGCTCCAGACATTTTACAAATGAGACGACTTTCATGTATCACCTGTGATGCAGATGAAGGCTGCGAGCATTATGGTTTTGGTAAAATACAATGTTCAGCAACTGCAGGTATGTAGACATACATCTGTTTAACTACTTCGGAATTATTTCGCATCCTATTCCAGATTTCCACGTGAGCAGCTGTGGTCGATTACACCATGAGGATGTTCATTCACCTTCCGAATGTGATAATTAAAACTTTGAATGTGTCAATTCCAACGACATTCCACTATCAGTTTTGAAAGACGAAATGTGAACAACATGAAGGCCTGTATATTATGGTAAAACTAACTGGAAAGAAGATTGTCGGACACTGCGTTGCTGTTATTCTTCGCGTTGATGGAAGCGGTGAATATAACGTCATGAAAGCAACTGGAAGGAAAATATCTGGATGGAAAACATTTGTCTTTCCAGAACGATGTGACATTGCTGATATAGATGTATCAGATATTCAAATTGCATTAGGTTGCCCAGACCTCAATGAGAAAACCAATGAATATGCTTCTTCGGATAGCCTTTATTACCCTAATCTGTATTAGTACCAAATTATTATCATTGCCTTTATTTTCTCAGATGAGCTGGAATCACCTTTTTGATTTTTATCTTCTATGGAGTACAAAATTCAGGTCGCAATAAATATATTTCACTTTTCTTATTATTGAATTGAAGCCACTAATAGGTAAAGGTATTGTGAAACTCAGCGTCATCTACAATTTAGTTTGAGGAGTACAAGTATACTAATAAATAATATAAATTCATCAAAACCACTGTTGTTACACGATGCTTTCGTCTATTTGCATTTTTAACTATTGTTAGTCACCTCCTGGAGTTATATCTCACCTCAGTGAAAATCAGATATCACCTCCGTTTTTACTGTCTCACCTCCATGAAAACCTGTTTCAAATTTCTTTCAAATTTGAAAGAACATAAGTTCAGTGATCTCGGAAATATGGTTTTTCAAGTAAAAATCAACACTACAAACATGAAAATATGAAAACCGTAATTGTCTACCCAACTATATTTTTAATGGAACTGCTAGTGAAATAGTTTGAATATTATGAGAATGACCCATAGATAGATATTACATATATTATTATCATTTATTTGACGAGCAGGAGAAAAGGAGGGCAGCCGCCCCCCGCTTGCCCTCCCCTGGGTACGCCGTTGTGTCCAGCTTAGTCCAGAATAGTAAATTATTTTCTTGTCACAAGTAACGGTGATATTTGTGGTAACAACTCATCCAACCAGGTACTAGTGTTAACTTATATAAATGCATTACTGGATAATGTTGAATGTCTTATTTGTAGGAAGAAGAACTATCTATTTGTTCCAAATGTTAGCAGTATATGAAAATGTCCCTTTCATTTGGTTGAGTAGCACATAAAATGTTTCAAAAAATCGACATTTTGTTCAGATTGTATGCTATTGTAACCGTGGGATCTTTTATGTTTACAACCATCAATATTTATTAAACAATAATAATAGAAAGGGAGCAGTAGCATTTTGATATAGGCGCGCACAAAGGGGTAAAGTATACATATATACTAAAAACGCGTCTCGGAGGTATCTGGCGGCTAATTCAATATCTAGTATGTTTGATATCAAAAGTATAAATGCTCCCAAAAGAGATTGATTCTTTAAAAATGCTAAATTGACTGAACATAACAACAACTCATTATGGCATAAGCTCACACAACTGCAGTTATGAGAGATAATAAACTTAAACATTATAATTAACAGAAGGGCTGAAATTCTGAAGCGTTTTTCATTGTTATCGGTTGTTCTTCTTCACCCAAAGCAGCAACAAAGAACACCACCAGCAGCATCGCGGGGTCAGTCTATCCGTTTTATATGCAATAAAAAAATCGTAAACTAAATTTTGGTGGTAGTTCTATCAGTTGCAACTACACGTAATGTGTTTTGATTTATGGGTTGAACACCTCCGTGTGGCCTTATTGAGTTGAAGGGTTCTTTGTCTTGAGATCGGTCTGGTTATATCATTATTTTCTGATCTTTTAACCGAAGATACTTGTTAGCTTGGTAGCTTCATTGAAAAAGAACTGAATCGTTTTCGCAGATCAAACAAAAATGCTTCAATTGATTTCCAGCCAACTATAAAAACTGCACCAGAACTAATTGCCAGAAAAATTAGGCGATTCCACCTTTCAACTCTTTTCCAAATCCACTACCAACCTTGTATTGAACCGTAAAGATACTTTCTCCATTCAGGTTGTAGGAAAGCAGTGGGATGCATTTTTTCATGGTTATCGACAGGAGTGGTGAGTCAAGAACCTCAGCTAAGTTTCACGGACAGGTAGTCAGGCTGAAAGCTCATACTACAAGTCGATCAAGCGTTAAGCCCGCAGTTTGACAGTTGTTGGAAGTTCAGATGAAATTATTTCTGAGAAAACAGTCATGGTGATCCAAACAATTGTCGAAAATGGTGAAGGTCTACTCGTATACTAAAACATAAAGCGCAATGCTCAGAATTATTTATTGAATTTTGATAAAAACTTGTAAGCATAATTGCTATCATGGAAGTATACGCTGATAAAATTTTGAAGGCATTCCGAGTCGTACTTTTTTTGTAAAGACTTTTTTTGTCATATCAGGATCCGAACAATATGAACATGTTTACTCAATATTCAGCAGGAAAATGCACGACCTCATATCGCACGTGTTGGTTTAGACTTTTCAAAAGCGTCGGGAGTAAATCTGCTCCAGTGGCCTTCTCGATCTCCAGACCTTTCCCCCATTGAACATGTATGGGGCATAGTGGGAAGAAGGTTGTAAAAGTTCACCACACCCTCCACAAACATTAGAGGCTCTACGAAACAAACCAAATTCAGATGGCCTTTGATACAGTATACCAAGTAGACGATCAATCACCTAATCCAATCAATGCCGCGATGACTTAACGAATGTGTAGCGAACAGACGAGCTTCAACAAATTATCAACATTAAGGTGGGATATCTCAGCTACTTTGCGAAATTTCTAGTTAAAATTTTAATCACCTTCTATTTATCAGTAGACCTAAAACTTGTAAAAGTATGCTCAAAATTACATTACTCCTAGTTATTTTATGTCACCTAGTATATTGCAGTCATTGGCGTTGCGAAAGGGCATGTACCTCAACATTGGGCTTCTCAAAAAGGTGTTTAGTGGTTGGTTCTTATCACTTTAAACACAAGATGCAATCCACGTAATAACTTTGATAGTACGAATTGTTTTAGGTAGATACGCGGGATTTAATTAAAATGTTTTGCCAATAACCGTTCTCGTAAGCCTAACAAATATTGACCTCTGTAGTGAAACTGTAGTGATGCAAGAACGCTACACGTTCTGTGGATCGGTAGCGGTGATCGCATCGTTTCTATTTGTTTTGTGTAGCAAATATTTTCATTCATGAGGTCAGGGTAAAGTATGGAGGACTCATTGGTTCGTCTTTATTTTTGGAAATCAAATAGGAAAATATATGTCAGACTACTTTGAACATTCGTTATAAAAATGATCAATATGGAAACTATCAGAACTGGCAAACGTTAGCTACAGGTAGTAATAAAGGGACATACATATTCTGAAGTTTTAACGAAAATGCGGTTCTATGCATTCATTTAAACACTATTGACTTCCTTAACTTCGCATGGCCTTTCGCTAGCTGCGTAGTAATCTTCTCTGAATTTTCTCAGATTTTCGCTGTCAGGACAACTGGATTTCACCCATTTTACAAAGCATTCGGTGGCAGGAAGGTACCTCCTGGAAAAATTAGGAATAATAGATTTTTAATACCTTATGTACTTCACTACAGTCATTTGTTTGGGACAACTCAAAAGGTACCAGAATCACCAACTAGTGAAGTGGTGATGATGGTTTACTCAAATACTTTAATAGTTTACTTTTTCATGTGGACAAAGCTTAAGCAACGTATCTTGTGTTGACAATGCATCGACAATGCAGAATAAGTATACAATGTAGACAGAAGCATACCTCAGTGAGGCTAGGACTACTCGCGTAGGCTAAAGAGTTAGAGAATGAGCTTATATTCATGATTTACAGTTATCTGTTTATGCATTTTCCTCTTTTCCCATAAAATATGATTGAATATAGCTTTAGCTATGTTGCCAAGCTTCCGTCGATTGTTGTAAAAAATAAAGTGTTTTTTAACTACTAACCTAAGAAGTCACCATTATTGACCTCAATGGATTATCGATAAGTAGCATTTCTTTCTCTAGGTATATAATGAAAGCATGAAGACTAGAGATAGGAGGTTAAACTCATGATGAGGGAGTGAAGTAAAAAATGCCGTCGATGAAGTGAGTTGGTACACTACGCAGCAAATGAACTTAAGGTACTGCGCATAGGGCATCTCTCCCGTGTGTACACACGGGTGAGTTGCAAGCAGAAATATTGAATAATATATATATAATATGATAAACCACGGAGTAATAAACCTATAAGGCATGACAACACGTGAGTGAAATGCACATAGAGATTGGAGCAGGTGATGTTGGCATTTTTCTTTGGCCAGACGCCCTGCGCCATGTTTTACGCCCACTGGATTTCCGGTGGCTTCACCATCCCTGGCGACAGAATTATACTAATACATGAATCATCTAGTCTTCGTGAATAAGAGCAGAAGACCAGGTAGGAAAATTATACTGTCATTTGAAATTGTATCTTGTCAGTTTCACAAATGAAGTTTATATTTCGAAATACTTTAGAACGACTGAGAAGTATGTAGTATTGAGAGTAGCTCTTCACGTAATTCTGGAATATCTCAATAATCGACATACTGTTTTAAAACGGCTTTTAATGTTAATAAAATAGTAAACATTTCTGCGTTACTCCCCTTGGACTGATCATATCAGCTGTCTGTTGTATTGACTAATCTCAGTCGGTTTGACACCAGATGACTAGATAGTAACTATATTTTAAAGTATTTGTAAAGTGTAATGACTGAGATGTAAAATCGAATATTCTTTTATGCACAAAGTGTTTTAAAATTATCTGTCCAATGTTTAAATGATTCTTCTATCCATTTTAAAAAGAAAACTTCATGTGAACGCACGTCTTAACTTTTGCGATACAGTATGATAAAGTTGTCAAAAACAAATAATTTGGCATACCTCCGACTGATTTTTTTAAGCCGATAGTGTGGATTCGATTGAAAAAATCAAGCGATCAAATCTGCTGAAAACTGATTGGAGATGTCAAATATCAGTTTTGTTTTAAGAGAAACTAGTAGCGTACCATCAATGTCTGCCAAAATAGGCAGGTGAAATACCGTACAAACACCTCTGGTGGAAACTAAAAAAAGAGGTGCACTCAAAAATATCTCTTGATAGAAAGTGTATGTACGTATGCCAAAGTTCATTAAACTATCAACAGAGGTATTTCAGATCTGAATGATAAATGCTTTTTTTTAAAAAGCTTCACCATTCTCAAAAGTTAAGACACTTGGGGCATACGTTCATATGAAGTATTCTTCTTAAATTGGACTCAAAAATCGCAACCTTACATATTGACATCCAATTAGGACGCATTCTGTAAAGTGTTAGTAGTGGAAACATTCTATACATATCTCATTTGAGGAGTGCATTTAATTTGATAGCAGTTACAGGCGTTGCCTAGAAACAAGTAAATACGGGTAATTGTCCAAGATGAGCATAAAATAGAAACCTAAATGTAGACAAATGTAATTGTTCATTCGTAGGCAACGATGTACATTTATACAAGCCGTAGACAATGACTGTAGTGTAGTTAAACAATTAGGGCGTATCGTCAGTCGTCAGCCTTTATGGTCTCCTTCATGTTCATAGCCTTTTACTGCTCCGTGTCTATTTTGGGGTTATATTACAAATATCTATTTGAAAAGAGAAAGAAAACATAGCCTCACAATAGGAGAGCGCTGACACAGAACAGTAGAAATCTAAAAATACCCCAGCCTTTCTGAAGGAGAGAAGCGACTATTATCAAAATCAAGCAGATCATAAGGGCGTCCTACAATTGTACGAACCACTGACGATACGGCCCTAAAACTCAACATAAATAACGTGAGCTTACTTGCAGAAAGCTGCTCTTGATGAGGGGATATTATCTTCGTCTTCAGTTTCTTTGGACACTTTTTTCAAACAGTTTATGTATTCCAACTGTTTCGACGTTTGGACGAGACTAGGAGCACACGCAGCAAGGTCAACTGGAAATTGGAGAAGAATAAACATGAGCTCCATGGAAACATTCAGTTTCTTGCAGGGATTGTGATGGGCATTTCAAGCTTTAGGAGGTTTAAGACTACAGCAGACTGGCTGTTATACATGGTGGTAATAAACTATTTGGCCAAACATCGTTGTAATTGTTTAATGATAAATGTACGTCCAGAAATATACATTCAAGACGCAGGATGTTGAGCTTTTTTAAAATGTTTCGTAAAAATCTCGATAGCATACACAACAAAGCCTAACCTTCCGTAAAAAATAAGGGATTTTATTCCGGTGATTTAATGGGCATTATAATTTGTGTTAAATAAAGTAACTGATTCCATCTGAATTTTTGAAGTTACCTCCTTATGTATTTAAAGAAAATACCTAGATCGGTTGAAGAGTTATTACAACAGCCACGAAAAGAGTGAATTTTAAAAGTTTACGCATGTATCTTGAGAACGAAACATTACCAGATCAACTTATAAGTTTAAGCTTGTCTCGTTAGAACAACCCAGGTGATCGCCGTTTGGGGTTTGGTACTTTATTTTAGCACCCACAACATAAATCACCCAGGTTTTGTTCTTACTCCATTGAGGAAATCCATTTGATATATGTTGGTGAGTATCGTGAGTTGAATTACCTCTCATGATGTCAAAGTCTTCATACATCATAGACACAACAGACTTCATCAGATCCTGGATGAACTCGGGGAAGTATTTTCTGTCATCAGGCATGCAGTTTCGTACTTTTCTAACGGCCTCTTGAGTGCAAGAATCTACGTGATCCAGGAATGCAGCCTTGGGAGTGATGAACATCTTCTTATTTTTCAGGCACTCCTTGGCCTGATCTATGGTTTCCTACAACATAAGCACATTAAAACTAAGACGAACATTAGATAATTGTTTTAGCAGGAAGATTCCTTTGTTATGCATCACAGTAATTCTTCAAATTAGTCTAAAGCATTCAGAGAAAACGTCCAGATTCGCTTACAAAACAAAAGATCTCTGCATTTCTCTGTTGTTTTCTCATTTCAAATCTGAGCACCCCATGACTAATTTAAAACATTTTAAAAAATACAAACAACCTTACTGCAGAAACTGAAAATAATAAAATTTGAGAGTGCTACCATGGCGAATTTGAGGAGATGTCAGAATCCATCAAACCGTTTGACCTGCAGCCCGTAAAATAGAATTTTCAAAGTTGAGGTTTACGTTTAAAATCCGACATTTAAATTTTACAGTACCCCAACTGTAATTCGCACCATCAAGACATATCTAGAGACACTAAATATGTCAAATCCAACAAGCTGTTTTAGATGTAGCCTGTGAAACACGAATTTCAAGGTTGAGCTTCCTTATTGAAAACCGCTATTTTGATTGATGTTGAAGACGAATATAGAGACACTTTATATGTCTAAGTCCCTCAGGCTGTTTAAGCTGTAGCCGGTAGAAAAGAAATGTCAAAATTGAAATTTTCAATTATAATCCGCAGGTTCGATATTACACAATTTTGGTATACCCAGTGTCACTCCCATTGTCAAGAAAAATCTCACCTCACCTCATATGTCAAAATCTATCAAGCAGTTCAATGTATAACTAGTGTGATAGGAACTTCAATGCTGATTTTTTGAGATAAAACCCTCATTTTGTTTTCATAACATCTTAATATAGCCAGTGTCGCTCGTAATGTTGAAGCGAATCAACACCTCACTTCTCAATATTGGTCAAGAGATTTGGCCCATAGCCGGGAAACAGAATATTTTGCCTACATACCCGAGAAAAATATAACTCTCCTTCTGAGGAGTCGGGTAAAAATGCAGCACCTAGCAGCATCAATATCCAGTTACTTTCACAAGAATATGTTAGTTTTCTTAAGAGGTCAAATTAACACCACATCAACAAATCCTTAATGGATGTGTGTTACTATATCTAACCAAATAGCACTTTACATTATTCCTTCATATCTGGATATAAATATATTATGATATTTATTTATGTACTTACTTTCAAATCATCCCCATTTTGGTATCCATTTTCCATACATTCCCTTACTACGGTGTTCTTTACTTTTTCGTACATAATTGAGCTCAGACCTTGCATTGCACTCCTCACAGATCTCTTCAATGCTGAAATAATGAGAAGTACGTGACCATGATTCCTAAAATTCACTCTGTGATTGTCTCGCTGATCAGTCTCCATGTTTTATAGGTCACCAAACCAAACCGCGGATGTTGATTTGAAATATTGGCAGACATTTCGTGCACTTCGGTGGTTTCGGAGTACAAGATGACATTGACGAAAAATCATGGATCAAATGAACGAAGGTGGTACGAGGATGATTTTAAATGAGAACAAACATATATGTCCTCATCCGATTGTGAACGGTTTTTGAGTTTTTACCAATTTTAAGAATTTGTAGAAAATCTTCTAATGTTATCTCAATCAACTGGATAAAACATGTTCCCAAAATATGTATCTTTGAAGGAAACACATTAAAGGAAAATTGGTCCAGTTGATGACGGTATATGCATCGGCTAAACCACAGTATGTTGTCAAAAATAATACAGCATATTCAACGAGGTCTGTACAAAAAGTTAGTGGACAGATAAAGTGTCCATCGTTATGAAGGACTTCTGGATATTACGAGGACTGTAAATTAAGTGATGAATTCGCAACATAGCTTCCGATCCAGCAACAGTGGAGGTGCCGGGCTTGGCCTGGAGACAGAGGAAGATGCTTTCAGTACAAGTTTGAACTGTCTCGAGTGATTGGGTTGTCTGTAGCGTTTTTTTTTTTGTGAAACAGTTTTTCCTATTGTGTTTTAGAATGAATGACACCAGATTCGAGTCCCCGGTGTGTGATCAGAGTTTACTTCAGGATTGGGGACAGCGCAAAGCAAACTCTTGATAGACTTCAGCAGGCCTTACGGACGTGTTTTGTCAACATCCCAGAGTTTTCGGTGGTTTTAGGTATTTTCAGAAGGAAGATAGTCGACCGAAGATGAACCAGGAAGACGAAGATCAAGACCCGATGAAAATATCGACAGAATCCGGGACCTTGTGCGTTCAGATCGTCGGTTGCCAGTCAGAATGATCGGAGAAGAGATAAGTTTGACTTATACCACCGTTCATCAGATCAATAACAATTGGATGTTGCATAACGATAATGCTCCTTGTCATACAGCAATGTCAATAAACCAGTCTTTGGCCAGTAAAAACATTCCTGTGACTCCCCAGCCTCCTTCTTGCCTGAGTTGAGTCCTCGTGACTTTTATCTCTTCCTAAAGGGAACTCATTTTGGGATAGTTGAAAACATTTAAATGGCTGTAACCGACCAGCTAAAGAGTATTCCAGTAGCGGAGTTCCAGCACTGCCACGAGGAGTGGAAGAACCATCTCCAGCGCTGTGTGGCTTTAGAAGGAAGTTATTTTGAAGGTGACGATATAAAATTGCAATTATATTTGAAGAAAAAAAAGTCAGCCTCGCCACTTAGACCTCGTATGGCACTCCAAAATATTATTTAAATAATTTGATTAAAAAAATAAGTAGTGGTGGGAGTTTCTGAAAAGCACGATATAAAAACGTAATGCTTGTTACAAATTCAATGATTTCTGCTGTTATGATGTTTTTTCCGATAACAAATAAAATTTGCGTTAAAGATGAGTGCATCTCAGAAAACACGATGCTCCTAGGAAAATCCAGTTTTAACAATCCATTCTCGTTCATTCTAGATTCAATCGGTAAACATGATATCACATTAGTTAGTCATGGGAAATTATTACGCACTATACTTACGCGCAAGTTGCTGCTGTTCTGCATTACATAGGGAAAGTCCTGCAAAGTTAAAAATAATCATCAGTCTCCTATATTGCATAGTATAGATGAATATTAAAAGTTAGGCTAGTGCTAGTAGGCTCTTGTGACAGATTCTTGGTATATGTACATGGAAACATGACAGCGCACAGCGCTATCTATTCCTGGAATGCAAAAGTGAAAACAGCAAGCTGTCTATTGGAACTGTATACCAGTTCGCATTGTCAGCCGGGTCACCACAGTGGCCGCTAGTTGCTGCCGATTCTGTTTCTACAGTAGATACGACCTATTCACCATTGAACAAACTAGTGATATAGCTTCCATTTATCTGACCACAGACGGCCAACCAGTGTAGATGTTATTTTTATGCGAAAAACAAAGTTTACGTTTTTTTCTTCTAACCAAATTCAAACATTTCGTTTTTGTGAGAATGTGCTACGATATTCTAAAAACATACGTTACTATACACATTGTAAAACAAAGCGGATGGTCTATCATCTTTTGTTGTGAATTACTCACAAATAGGGAATGTTTGAATTTGACTAGAAGAAAAAACGTAACCCATCATTTTTTAGCATAAAAATAACATTTATCTTCCGGAAGGGTTCGCGATTCATATCGGCAAGGTAAATTAGCGTATTTTTAAACTAGTAGTACTGGCCGGAAAACAGGTGTTTTGGGATAAACAATTAGAAATTCTCAAAAACATACATGACCAATCTACTCCAATTTTGTTGCGGTTATTTAGAAGTATGAGTCCTACAAATTTGAAGAATTTCAAATATCTGCGAGACATCGTCGCATCCACAACAAGTGCCAAAACTTGCAATTTGCCTCGGTTTTTCGCCATAATTTGTTTGCTATCAGTCGGATTTACTCCGTGTGGTCTCATTTTGGAGATCTCATAAATACCTAAAAATATTATACAAAGAGTTTTTTCGTTCCTACCAAAACTTTTGATTGAATCCCAAAAACCACGTTTTCTCATTCTTGTCGAATAAAAAGTTTTCCCACAAAAATTGGTGTACCCATCTTATGCGTCCGTGTTTCGAATACCCCGTTGAACAACTTGCAGCACTTTATAATTATTTCGCAAGCCAGGGGTTGTTTCGTCTAATATGATTAGACTAAGCATGATGTAGGCCTGGTTTTGGTGGACAACGAACGAAAGTTGAGCAACTCTTTTCAGAGCATGAGGTTTACCGAAATAAAACAGCACAAAGCAAGATCTATTACCAGAATCGTACCACTGCGAAAGTGAAAACAGCAAGCTGTCTGTTGGGTCCAACGAGTTCAGACTAGGTAGAAGAAGCAAGTTCACGATTTATTTGTGTTCTAACTCTAATGGTCTGGATCAAAGTGCACTTGACGTAAATCAATTTTTTGACAGTTCTGTCATTAAATTCGCATATTAAGTGTTATTTTTCTAAAAGAGATAATTGTGGTGTTAAAGGATTCCAAGTCATCGTACTTTTTGCATAACTGGCAAAGAGCGGCGCAAGTCTACTAAATGCAGATGTTTCCACCGGCGAGTATTATTATTATTTTGAGACAACGTTGCCACTTTGGTAGGCATTGGTAGACAAATTAGTCAAAAGCATGCACTAAAACTACGGAAATTTAGCGAAAAACAATGGCATTTAAACATATAGGCCTTCTAGTCTATCCGAATTCGTTGGTAGGTCCAGCCAATATAGGTGTACATTACCAATATACAGGGTGTAAGCGTTATGGTAGTCATTATTGAAATGGGTAATAGGGGGGGTCAAAATAAGTCAAAACGTTCATATGACCCATGGTCTGAAAGTCAATAGATTTTTGTCTAAATGGCTTTATAGTTTACAACTTTAAGTGTTTTATATCGACCACAATCACCACAATCATACTAATTTTTATAATCTAATCTAAAACGTTTTTATATTGGGTAATTAACAAATAAATGGCATTAAGTTTTTCTAAGTTAAGCCAAAATTTGTAGTCAGTAAGAAAGCAAGTTTCATTAAATTGAGTATTTAAAACACACTTGACAACAGCGCTTCGGTCATCACTCTTATTGAACCGGCAGTCGATCGCATACGGTAACAGTGGTTAGTTATCCTTTTGCATAGTTTTGCGGCGTTGTCAGATTTATTTTACTCTAAAGTCGCTTTCCTCTAAAAAATGCCGTTTTGGCCCCCATGTGATATGAAACTTTTTGGTTCCTTTAACCCCCTCTATCACTCATTCAAATAATGACTATCATAACGATTACACCCCGTATAGGGTTAGGTAAGCAATATTCGTATTTTTAATAGGTGATACCTTGCATTACTCTAACCAAAAAAGTTCATTACAACTTATGTCCGAAAATCAATCGTTTTCGAGGAAAGTGAGTAGTAAATAATTAAATTTTCTCAAACATTTGGCAACGCTGCAACGCAACCGCGATACGAGCGCACTGATTCCTCGAATTGTTTACGTTTGTATGATATTTTTGTTGAAAATATGCCTTGATGTATTGAATACTTTTGGGCAATTTTTTATAACTAATATTTTTTATTTAATAATGCTTTCAGTACCATACATTTACTTAAAAAAAAATGACAGAACTTACCGGTACGTGGCGATATACACCACCAATTTCTACGATTATCAGTCACTCATTTGAACGATGCGAAGCACGAAAGAAGAAAAAAAACAACATTTGTTAATCACATAAAGTTACGGTTAAACGTATTAGTAATCACAACAACACGCAATGATACATACAGAGTAGGCGGAGTACGACGTTGCCAGTTGTGTGAGGGATTGTATTTTTCTGTTTTTCTTCGGAAAATTGTATTTAATAAGCACGAAAATTATTTTGTTAGAGACAGTTATTTAATAGATAGATATATTGATACATTTTATGCTATTAGGGATATGAATTTAAATTATTAAGGTGCAAAATTAATTTATTTCATAACTAAAAAGAAATAAGTCCAGCATTTTTTTGCTCCGAAACGGTTGATTTTCGGACATAGGTTATAATGAACTTCTTTGCTTAGAATAATGCAAGGAATCCTCTCTTAAAGTTACGAATATTATTTTCCTAACACCTCGTATAGTATGTATATGGATGAGAACTATAATTTACAGCAAGCAATTTGGAGTAATCTTGAAGCTCATGTACTATAAAGTGTCTATAGGATCTGTTTGCTTGCAAAGTCTATGACCATAACCAAACCACATACAACGCTCTTTCATGCTTTCTAACAATAATCACTATGAGTATACATCTGGTCATTTGAGACAGACACTGTATAGAAAACAAGCGAATAGGGATCTACCAACGAATTCGGATTAGGTAGAAGGAACAAGCCTGCAATTTGTGTCTCCAAAATCTCAGTCTGTAGTCCGAATAAAAGTGCATACTACAAATAGACTTGACAGAAGTTGATTTCTTGACAGTTCTGTTATTAAATTTGTATTTTTATTGTTATTTTTAAGGTGCGAGCGTCTGCAGATAATTGTGGTGTTAGACGACTTCAGGATATCGTACCCCTTGCATAATTTGCAAAGATGACACAAGCTTAATGAAGTTAGATCTTTACACCGGTAAGTATTATTATCACGTCGACACAACATTGACATTTTGCTAGGCACTAGTCAAACGAGTCAAACCTATGCACAAAACCTACGCAACTTTGGCGACAAATAATGGTATGTAGATATATGGTGATCGCTCCTAAGGTATTCTAATTCATTGGGGTCTACTGAAAAGCTTAGTATTGTTGTCCGTGAAAAAGTGTTACTGCTACCTATAAGTAGTTCGCCAAAAACGGTACTGCTGACCCCTAGGTCGGTAACAGGAAAGTAAATGTTCCTTGGCATCTCTGAATGACAATCCGCTTTGATGAAATGGGCAAGTGTCGTAAACCATACAGAAGTACTTTGCCGTACATGACCTCGTCACTCTGGGAATGGCCCAGATAAGACCTAGCCTCAAGTACTGCTCACATGTTTGGGGTGCTGTTCCACATGCTCGCTGCTGTTCAGAGAAGGGCTGTCATATTGATCGATAAATCTTCTCTAACGTACAAGCCTTTCGCGCCGATGGGCCATCGGCGATCTAGCCTTTGCTGCCGCTGCCGCAACTGGCTTTGCTCATCAGAGCTCTCCTCCATGATGCCGTCGCGTAATTTGCCCGCCAGACAGACCCGCCTGACTTCGTCCTCCCATCCTAACCGTGTCGAACTTTGTACAACAAGACTTGACCGATGCGACCACTCCTTTGTCCTTTGGGTATCGAGATTGTGAAGCAGTTCCAAAATTGGATTAAGAAAGTTTCTTTAAAAAAAGGCATCTAGTTAATTAGTGTCACCTCTTTGCACACAAGTTTTTCAGTAGTAGTAAAGAGTAGTTTCCTGCTATCCATGTAAATGTATATATTACGTAACTAGTCGTAGGTGGCGGTGTAACCTCTTCCTGTCTATAGTATGACAAATGGGTATACGGGTATACAGTGCTCTTCAGAATTATCCACCCTTGTTTTTTTTTGAACGGAGCACTGAAGTCGGTGCAATGAAGTCCGAAACTACATTTTGGAGTAAAACTGACAGCTGAAAACTTCAGAGCGTCATGTTTGACTATCTCATTTTGAAGCTCCTCATGCGTACTGAATCGCTTATAACCCATCAACTAACAATCAAAACGACTACAACCACCTTGTTCTTTGGTAGGGTATACTTGAATGCGCAATAAAACAGAGGACGATCTGTTCAAAAGATTGACGGATATTGACAACATTTTTTTAATGCAACACCGCATATTTCTTCAAATATTCGGATAGATCCTTCCAAAAAGGAGATTGATACTACATTTTCATTATTGGTTGTTGGGTTATAAGCAATTTAATGTATAACAATGATCAACTGTTACTGTCAGCTTCTAATCTTGAAAAATGGAAATTTTTGATCTAGAATTTTATAATAAGCATAAGAAGTATCAGAATGAGGCATTGCATAACCCCCCATTACATTTGAATAAATGCTTTATGTCGGTGCCACTTTTACGCCAATATTTAGTTTCTGTGAATCTGCCTAATTTTCAGCTTGTTAACTTCCGCCGTCCAAAAAAAGAAGCAAGAATGTTACATTTTTGAGAGGCATCATGTAATTAAATTTGAAAAATTGTGTCCATTTTCGTATTCTCAGAATAGTCTTAACAACAAACAAGATTCATACATAAACTGGTTACCTTTTCCGAATTTCCAAAGTTGTACGTATAACCACCTGTGTACCTAATCTCTTAAAATATGATAGGTGGTATAGATATATGGGAATCCCAATTAAGACCTACTTATATTACTCTGACGAAGGGCACACTTCAAAAAAGATCCGTATATGATGAACGAATATAGACAACCAATACATATTTTTACAAAATGTGAAACTCAAACATTAATAGCGATGGTTCAAATCCTAATTCTACAAATAGAAAATATATCCAAAAAAAGCCAGCTGACATAGCAAGTAAAAACTTTTAAATTATTATAAAAGTATACGCAGGCAGATCATATCTGGATTATATATGTTATATTTATAAATATGTTGCAAAAAACTTAGTAACCTCATAGATAACAAGCATGATTTGCAAATTCCACAAAATACACTCAAGCATACCATTCTTTTGTAAATACAATCAACAAGGTCATAGTAGAACAGTTTGTAACAGAAATACTTGACGTCCATCATCCAATATTGTCAGGGCTCGGGAAAACCATCAAAAAACTTCCGTGATACTTTTAGATTTCTCTAAAGCTTTCCACACAATCAACCATTCACTTTTAATAGTCAAATGTAAATTTAATAGTTTCTCTAAACCTCTAAACCGTCAGTTGCTCTAATCAATACCTTTTCAAGAAATAGATCACAAAGGGTTGTCATCGATATGAACATTTCTCCTGAGGCTTTAATATCATCGGAAGTGCCTTAAGGGATGGTTCTTGGACCACTTCTTTTTATTTCATATATCTCCGATCTTGATAAAGTTGTTAAACACTGCAATATTCAGTTTTTCTGCGGATGACTCGCAGTTATACAATATTTTTAATACTGACAACATAACAATTTCTGAGGCTCAAATTAATGAAGATTTGAGATCTATGCAAAAATTCATAATCTTAGATTAAATCCAGCAAAATAAAAAGTAATTATATTCTCTTCTAAAAAATTTAGAAATCAAATCAAGAAATATACGACTATAATATCATTAAATGATGAAATTATGAAAGTATGTGGAACTGTAAAAAATCTAGGCATATCTCATTATGAATGTCTAAATTTTATTCCTCATGTGGACAATGTTGTTTTTTTGGTACTTCGACAAATGTACTTGAAATTATATGCTGCAGCATTGTTTATAATGCATTTTTAGATCTCATATTCGTCAAGCACTTGCAAGAAATTCAAAAGTCATGTTGCAGATTAATCTTGAAAAAATATGATCACCTTACCTCCTTGTTCATAGAACTGGAATGGTTATCTATTCCTAATCTATTTAAATTTCATTTACTATGCTATATTCATAAGCTTTTACTTAACTCAATGCCCCCATTATATGCATTAATGCAGAAATTCAAAAGTCATGTTGCAGATTAATCTTGAAAAAATATGATCACCTTTACCTCCTTGTTCATAGAACTGGAATGGTTATCTATTCCTAATCTATTTAAATTTCATTTACTATGCTATATTCATAAGCTTTTACTTAACTCAATGCCCCCATTATATGCATTAACATCATTCTAAAAGTATGTGTAATGTTATACTTTTCCCTTTTATCCAATTCTGATTTATTTTACTCCATTAATTCGCTTCTATGTTGAAACCTCTGCATTTTTAGTGGTATATATTGCTTTTGAGGTTTATTTTGTGGATAGGTTAGGTGGTAGAATAGCTTATGCTAAACTTCGCTCAATATAGACGTCTTATTACTATTACTACTATTATTATTATTTATATTCCCAAATTATGCAGATCGTGAAGACAAATTTGGGAGGTGTTGGATACGGCTAGACATTGTTCAAAAGTTCTTATTTTGAACTCTGGATTCTCGGACCTTGGACAGCGTCAGTCAATAAGTATAGATGACCAAATGGACGAAATTTAATTAATGACGTGTCCTGTTGGTTAAATCCACCTTGGATGAATAATAGAAATTGGTAATCGCCATTTTTTTCCATAATCTGGTCTTTCTTCAGTTGTTGAATCATAAATATCGCCTAGATACCGTCAACATCAAGAAACATAGGAGGAACTTTCAACTAACATCTTGTCACCTCATTTGGAAGCGTAAACTCCCATTCATCAGCTACAAATACCTACGTCTTCATGTATGATGGTGAGAATGCCATGTAACATAATTATTGTTTTCCATACCTGTTACTAATAGACAAACAGCAAATATCCAAATACCGCGCGCCATTTTGTACCGTATCAAAGCTTTTCCCACACAATAATTTCCGCACACTGCCACCAAGTAAACAGATAGATGTTCGTTATATATAGTTAATCTTTGGTTGACCTCTTCGAATGATAGACACGACTCATTTGGACTTATTGTGATTATGGCGCAGTTATATATCGGGTTTATTATCTCCATTTTCGTATAATGTGTTCTAGGTAACCGCGTGATATAAGTTAGTATAAACAGTGTTGCTTTTATGAATGTATGAGAATCTGCCCGAAAGTCCTACTTGATGAGATTGGTTAGTTGAATTTAGAGAGTAAAATGATCTGAAATGAAAAAAGTTTGTCATAAAATATTTGTTGTGATTTGTATTCATCATGGTTATCAAAAATTGTATAATCCATGGAATTTCTGTAACGAAGGGATTTCCTAGCTATTGAAAAATGTTGTTGAATCACAATCTTCATTAACCTTATTTGCTGTTTAGCGGTCGCAGCGGTGACTCATCTCTGTCGAAGGCGAACTGAGATCTTTACAATTTCAAACGATAGCTGCTCTTTGTTCTTGCAGTGGTTGATTCTGGTGATAGATGGCACCTTGTGCTGCCTCAATGTCTCACATGAGACCAAGTCTATACCGTGCTGACGAGTTGGCAAAAAGCATAAAACAGGTGTCCACGGTTTGCTGTCTGTAGTCGGATCGACGAACAGGGACCAGATAGATACATTAACGACATTAGCATTACTACGCATCTGGGTACAAACAGCCAACGTATGGGGACAAATTTGTATGTTGTAAAGAATATGCTTATAAACGTTGGGTACAGGGTTACTTGTCTGGATGTTGAGATGAGATCTACAGTATAACATTTTTCATATCGAAGAGCTATATGAAGATTCACTCTCAGGGGTCCTTTGGAAAAAAAAATATTCGACTACCTACTTCTCGACTCGATAGCAAAAGTATAAAATTTGGAGACGAAATCACATGATCTTTTTTTTTTTGTAGATCTTTTAACCGGCTACGTAGTTGTGGTTAGATGTCGCCTTGAATATTGTAGGTCTTCTTGCCATTATACAGCAATGAGTGGGTTGGCCCTTGTTAGTGACTTTGTCAGGTGTCGTTTTGTATACTATTTGGTCTATCAGTGAGAATGGGTTCAAATATTCTGTTATTCATATACAGTCGATAACTCCGCTATTACGCAAGGTATCTCAAAATGTTAATCGAAACAATTGATACTAACAGTATGCTCCTTACTGGAAAAGATTTTAACTCTACGGGCGATACATGTAAAGACCTACATTTTATTGCAAATTCATGAGCGATTTTATGTAACATACTATAGGGTCTTACTTCTAGATTGTTGATATATTATACAAACTATCGACAAAACAAACAACTTAGTGTTTTAGAAAGAACCCCATATATGTACATGCCAGAAGGTACTGGTATACAAGAGGCTCAAAAACTGAAGATCGAGCTGGAGCTGGGATTTATGTGGCAAAAACTGTGATCTCTATAAGTCTAGGCAATATAGCAACAATATTTCAGGCTGAAGTAACGGCCATACAAGTCTGCGCAAAAGAGCTAATAAGGAATAAGGCTGCCAATCAATCGATCGCCATCTGCTCAGATACCCAGGCAGTCATAAAGGCATTAAGTTTATCGCAAATATCGTCTAAACTAGTATGGGATTGTGTGAAAACTATTAAAGAGCTAGGAAACCGAAACACGGTAACATTGCTCTGGGTACCAGGACATGAAGGGCATAAAAGAAATGAAAAGGCGGATGGGCTACCTCTACAGGATGCGGCCAATCGCCTGTTAGGCCCAGAGATCTTCTGCGGCGTGAAAAACACGCACCAGTCTATAAGAAATTGAACCAAGAAATAGACCCTAGAGTGGTGGAACAGCCAATTGGGGTAAAGGCAGGAAAAAGAGTTCATCAAAGAACGAAGGTCTGCATTTACAGAGGACCTACTCGGATTCCATAGGAAGGCCATGAGGGCTATAGTACGTCTCCTGACAGGACACTGTCATCTAAATCGAGATATTTATGAGACTCTTGGGTCCGGCGAAAGAGGCATCATGCCTGCAGAGAGCATTAGGAAACCTCACTGCATCTCCTGTGTCACTGTGAAGGTCTGGCAAGGCTACGGTTTCATATAGTAGGGACCACAGCTCCGACAGCGGAAAGCTACATGCAAGACCCTGTGTCAAGGTTATGAAGTCTGATCAATTGATCAATGTTGGACACAGTGCTTTAGAAATTATATAAGATGGTTACAATAGATCCACTTGGGTCGCAGTGACGTTAAGGCTGGCAAGCCAACCCCTTTCTTTTGAAATCTAGTGTAATCTACTGTTTTAGTTTTTTCAATAGTTTATACAAGGCAGTCAAGAACGCAGAATGAACAATTTCTCATAATCTTCAAATGGAACACCGTGTATATTTCTGCCTGATTTCCCTTTTCGCAAACTTTATAATAATAATGCCTTTATTAACTGCAGTGAGGCGAAGTTTAGCCAGACGGCTACTCTTACACTCAACCCCACAACAGGAAAAAATAATACTTACACACATAAAAAAATAATAACATACCAAAAAAAAATACAATTCATAAGAATGACAACATTGATTGCACGAGACAAATGCAGATAGCATTGCGAGAGTTTTAAATTTGAAACAAAAATAGTAGAAAATAGACAAACAAAAAAAAATATCACATGAGCACAAGAAAAACTGAACTAAATGGACTCCAGCAGCTGACTTTTCATTAATTTCTTAAAAGAAACAACCTGTTTGGATCGATAGCCACTGTTGACTGCATTGTAATGCTTGACAGCATTATAGGTGTAACTTCTTTCAAATACCGAGGTATTGTGAGGAGGCATGTTAAAATTAGCATTAAATCTAAGAGCTCTGGTAACAAAACTACCTCGGTGAACTAATTTGCTAGCGAGGTAAGCTGGTCTGTTAGATAATAGAACTTTATGCGTGAAGACGGTCAAAAGATATAAAAATAACTTATCAATTCGCAGCCAGTTGAGTTCTTTGATTTTATCTGAGACTCGACTACTTGCGCAATCCAAAAATAAACCTACAACAGCTGTTCTGAATTTTCTGGAGTTTCATTTTGTGGACGTAGCCTAAACATGGGTAATACAGAACAAGAGAGTAAGAAATGACAGACAACACAAGACTTTCAGCAAGCTTTTTTCGGGTTTTAAAATTCAAGATGTATCGATTAGAATAGAGGAGTTTCAAACGCAAATATGTTACTCTAGATAAGAAAGAGACATGCCGATCGAATCTCATATTTAAGTCAAGGGTAACACCGAGATTCTTGGCGTAATCCACAAAAGGGATGAGTGTCTCATCCAAAAAAACACAAATCCTCTGCTTCATTTCACGGTAGGAGTTCTTCGAACAGTACAACATTGCAGTAGTTTTATTAGGATTGATCTTCAAGCAGTGTTTGTTACAGTAATCACCGATGTCAGCCAAATCTAAATTAACTTTAAAAGAAACTTCATCAACCTTTGATGGATCGAAACCAAACACTAACTGAGTATCATCTGCATAAGTTTGCATACTACAGTGGACTAAACAGTCTTGCAGATCGATCGTATAATTCAGATATAGTAAGGGACCTAATACTGAGCCCTGAGGAACTCCTGAAGGAACTGGCTCAGAGGAGGAAATTCCATGATCAGTTTTCACTGTTTGTTGACGATTCAGCAAGTATGACTCAAAGAACCTTAGAACTATATCTGACATTCCATAATGAGATAACTTACTCAGTAGTATCTGGTGATTGACCATATCAAAGGCTTTCGAGAAATCTAACAGTACCAAGACGGTGTTGATGTGATTATCTAAATTGTGAATGATGGAATCAGTAAGATGTAATAAAGACGAAGTAGTGCTGTAACCAGCTCTGAAACTTGACTGATGTAGAGGAAATAAGTGGTTTTGTTCGAAAAACTCCACTAGTTGTGAGTAGACAGCTCTTTCGAGTATTTTTGATAGAAAGCATAATAAGGTAATTGGCCTGAGATCCGAATATTGTTCTGGATGATTAGTTTTAGCTATTGGAATAATAATACCATTTTTCCAACTGGCAGGAAAGTAACCTGTTTCGAGAGAGACGTTAATAATGTGAGTTATATGGTCTATGGTATCAGGCAAACAAAAGCAAACCATATTTAAAGTTAGACCATCAGAGCCACATGCTGTAGACTTAATGTGAGAGATTATATTGACGATGTCTTGCTGAGTAAGGAGTTTAAAAGCAAACAGAGGTGCATCCGGTGTATGGCGTCTATCGCTATAAGAGTTAGAGACACTATCAATCAAATTTGTATCAGCTGCAGCTGTCTGGAAAATTGAAAGAAAATAATTATTTAAAATGTTAGGCTCAAGGAGACTGGGAGGTATCGCGACATGTTTCTGGGCTACCACATTCATCCTCCTCAGGTGTTTCCAAGCTTGACTTGAGTTAAGATTCCGGAAACGTGACATATATGCTTTTTTCTCTCTTCTAAGCGATGCAAGGGCATAATTTCTCAAATCTTTGTAGCTGGCCCAATTCTGATCAGATCTGTGATGCTGCTAGACAGCGAATGCCTCATCTCTGAGTTGAAAAATCATTTTCAAGTTAGGAGTGAGCCAGGGCGCAGCAGGTTTTGTGGCACGTACTGTACGTAGCGGAGCGTAGAGATCGAATAGATAAAGAAGACGGCCAGTAAAATAGAGACTTTAATATCCACATCATTCACGAAATAAATGTCATTAAGCTGCATTGATGCAATCTGCGTCTTAAAACTTTGAATATCAATGCTATTAAGATTTCTATATGTTACAAATTTAGGCTCTATTTTTTTATAACAAACGGAAATATCACAGTATGTGAGCCGATTATCACTAATTGAGTCTGCATTGAGTGTCCCTGACCTTTTGACGATAGTATTGTCACTAACAAATATTGGATCAAGTAATGTGGAACTGAAGGCTGTAACACGTGTAGGTTCATCAATGACTTGAATGAAATTGAATGGATCAAAGCAGCTGCTGAGGATGTTGTTATGAGCAAGCAAGTCGACATTCATATCGCCCAAGAATATAATGTTGTCATATTGGGGAGTGAAAAATGAGATAAGATTTTCTAAACACTGGATGGCTTGATGTATAGAGCAATATGGTGGCC